ACAACAAAGTCTATCGTCCATACATGGCAGATCTAATTTCAAAGCTCCAAGCAACCGAATAAACTTCAGTTGCCGTTTGATTTCAAACAAATGTAACTTCAACAGCTGGCGATACGTTAAAGCGTTGCTCGAATCGACCAATCAGAGAAGCGTGCCTTTCATAAACCGTGAGAACACCAATCAGGTTAGTGACGTATATCTGTGTTCTCAAATGTACCCTTGTATTTCGGCGAGTTTTCATAGAAAGCAAATTTTTCCTAATAAAAGGAACGTTACTGTAAAATGCGAATGTTATTTATTAAAATTGTCATTTATCAATGTTGTTCTTCTGTTATTACATGTATATAATGTATATTAAAAATAATCATATAAATAAAAATTTTAAACATACATAAGTAAGAGGGGAGTGTCACTAAAGAGCTCGCGGCGCCAATTTAGACACCTTTACTATAGAATATAAACAACAATTATTTATTATAAGTTTTTTCAATAACAGATATAGTTAGAAACATAGATTATTTACAAATTAAATATTTTTTTTAATGAGTCATGACGATTCATGCCATTGATTTGTGTTATTGTAAACCTATCTTAAGAATTAAAATTTATTACCGTTACACGATGAAAATTTCAAAGTTTGGTCATCTTTCAATAGGTTAGTCTATGCCTGTAAAGATTAAATTGTGTGCTGTTTGCGGTGTATTGCGCTTAAAGCTACACAAATTCGTAATGTTTTTACAATATCTACATCCAAAGTCAACGCCGTGATTTGTTTTTTATTGAAAGTTGGTTACAATTGAACTGTTAAATCTACGCCTCTAGCTTCGGAGAAAGTATTTCGCGTTTAAACAGTGCGTGGATTTGGAATTATTAACCTTGTGACGGAAGCTTGCATTCCCTGTACATTAAGCGTCGACTGTACAGAGATACAGACTTGGTTCGGTAGGGTCCATTACAGAAATAATAATGAGTCCATTAAATCGAGGACCTCTATTAGGACCTAGAGTCCCTCCAGCTGGTATACGGCCTCCTCCACCACCGAGGTTTGGCGGAAGGCTACCACCTCCTGGTTTACCGCCAAGAATGCCACCACCACCTATGAGCCCGGTTTTCGGTCCTATGAGGCAAAGACTACCGCCTCCACCGAGACCAGGTGGTGTGACTCGACCCAGTGGACCCATGCCATTATTCGGCCCAAGAGTCAGAGGTATGGCTCCAATTGTTCCACCAATGGCTTTAAGAGCCGTTGGACCAAGAGGACCACCAATGAGGCCCTGGTCTAGAAGAGGACTACCGCCTCAAATTTTACCCCATATGAGACCACGCTTCTCCATAGGGAATGGTAATGCTAAGGGCAAAGCATTAAATAATGTTAAAAAAGTCAGCAAATTGGAAGTAAGTATAAATTTTTATAATGTATTTATAGAATGTAAACTGTAGATTAAATTTATGTGTTTTAGTTATATTACAGTAACGAATGGAATTTAAAACACTATAAGCATATTATATTTTACTCATTTCTATATTAATGCTATAGATTAGTTGATTGGCATCATTATTATTGAGACTTGGCTTTTTATTGTAAAGTAAGTTAGTTAAGCATAGACTATTGACAAATTATTTTCACATCAATATCGTGGATAATAGAGCATAGATTAAAGGATATTTTGTACAAATTTTTATATAATATTATGCGATAAACATATTAATAATAATATATGTCACTCGTATCGCAACTTCAATGTCTTTCAATTTACCAAACTAATTGAATCGAAATGTAAAAGTTCTGAACATAAATTCTGATGAGAAGACATTATTATTATTATTATTTAGGAATTAGAACTAAAGAAGCCATGGATGACTGATGAAATTCGTAGCGAAATACAAAAGAAAAATAAGCTTTACGCTAAGGCAAAAAAGAATAAGGATGCAAAAGAATGGGAAGAATTCAAGGATTTAAGGAACAAAGTTACAAGGATGATCAGAGAAGCTAAAAATGATTATCTTGCAAAACATCCTGAACAGGTATTTTTCTCATTCAACCTTTATAGACAGAGCATAAGTTAATGCTTTCTTTTCTTTAACTAACAATTCAAAGAATAAACTGTGTTCTTTTTTTACACTAATAAGAAGAAGTATAATTTCTGATATACTTTGGAAAAGATATTAATTTAAAAATGTCTCCCAAAAAACTATTAAGTATATAAAAATTGTTTATCATATTGATAAAGTAATTAATAATAATTTATGTGCAAATAGTTAGACAAACTATGATTAAAAAAGATGACACCAATTACAGTTTCATATATTTGCATAAAAATATTATTAACATGTATAATCAGGAGTGAAAGTATTTATACAGAGAGCATGTATAAATGTTATCATATTTTAATATTTTAAAATAATAGTTTGAAAGTAACATGTATAGATACTTCTATTCCTTTCTGTATTATTTTGTAACTTTGATATTTTCATTAAATTTCAATTATAGGTTCATTAAATCAATGATTTTAATATAAAGTTATAATATTG